TCATTTATTATTATTTATTATAAATTATTAATATGGTACATATTTAAATGTATTAAGGGCGACGGAATAAATTTTTAACAGATATATGGTATCGACTAATTCAATATCTTAATTATTAAAACAATCAAATATTTTAACTGCTTTTTATATTAAAATTAAAGGAATTAATGTCAAATATTACTACAAAGTGGGTAAAATAATTGATGTTATACGTTGTTCTGCGATATCTTACTAAGTAATTTTTTTCTATTAGTTCATTATCATCTAATTGTAAATTTTTGCTCGCTGCACTTTAAAATTTTAATATCGGGATCAGTTGATTATAGGGATAAGTAGAATAATCGAGGCTGCATTAAAAACAAAAAAAATTTATGCATAAGAGAGACACGCATAAATGTGTCTGAGCACGCAATCGCTAAGTTTGGTGTAACATCTTTTTGCGAACACATCTATGATAGAAGTTATATCACAATTTTAAAAAATCGTACACCTAAGTAAATATTTTTATTCTTAAAGTTTTTGTTTTAATCGTGTATAATCGTATTCGATTTCTACTTAGATAGTAAGTGTAGTTCTAACTTAATAAAATCCAATAGATTTTTTTTGTTTATGTGTTTTTGTTATCGTATAGTGTTAATGTTTTTAAAAAATGAATGGATGGGGATAGTAGACTAACGACAGCATGGAACTGTATGACTCATTTAGTGACGACTCTTATAGTATTTTCTCAAATTTTTCATTTTATTCTTTTAAAGAGATTTTTCTCAGTGGTAAATGTTATAAGTTCAATTCCTTCATATTCAATCTCAAGAACTCATTCGATATGTTTTTGCACGAAATGAACAAATTTTGCAAAAAGAAGCATTGTTTTGCCATGCGAAGCAAATGTTGTGTTCAAAATAAATTTTTATAAAAGTTTTAATAATATGTAGCCAAAGATGTTGCTTAAAGTACATTAATTTTTATTTTAATAATCTTAGTCGAATTACCCCAATTTCCGGAGCTGGTTGAATCAGATAGAATGCATTGGAAAAATGCATTTTTTTCATATTAGTTATCAGTTTTCTCTTATTATTAAAATATTATTAGATAGTCAAATGTATGTAACTGGTATAGAATTCATTTTTTCTGTAAGTCTCTTAATTTCGTCTGTAAAAATTCGAAATTGAAAAATGAGTCTATTAGCCTCGGTCTCTCCTACAATATTTGATATATATTTGTTATGAAGCAAAAAAATTTGAGATGATTTATTTTAAGTTATCTTGCGTTTGCAAAAGAAAATCGTAGAAGAAATCATTTTTAATATCGTATTGGCGAGATTGATTATTGATAAAAGAAATAAAAATAAAATGCATATAAAATGAAAAATAATTTGTGTAATATTTTAATATAGTCGATAGTTTTAATTTATTTACAAAATAGTGGATATATTATGTCTTCATATATTATTTGTTACTAAAATACTACTATTTAAAAGATTTTTTAATATATTTTTTTAAAATCGTACAATTAATTTTATCAGTCGAAGAAACATATTAATTCATTTTTTTTTAAATAATTAGATTAATTTTAATTGAGACAATATCAATGATTTTACCTTTTATACTCAATTTATTATCATTATGTCACTTTGCTTCTTACTGCAATATCAAAATTTTTTATAACAATATATACATAATTTAACACGTTAATGAATAATATTATGTACAATTTTAAAACAGCTTACTATATTTTAATAAATTTACAAAAATATAATTCATAATTACGATCCAGTATACATTAATTAAAAAATAAATATCATTGATAATATATTTTTTATTTAGTTGAAAATACATATTGATGCATTTTTCATTGAAAATTACGATTATATACATAAGCGCGCATGTGTGCTTATGCAAATATTAGATCATGTTGAAAAACATTTTGAAACATCCTGTACGCACACAATATAAATGTGTAATATGTTAGAATCATTATTAATCAATTTTCAAAAGTTATTAATTCATATTGTACAATTTATGTTCCCCCTTTTGAATATGTCTACAAAATATGATGTATGACTATATAAGTATAACAATAACTTTTTTATGTATATTTCACTTTTTTACTTTACTTTGCAGGTGACAAGTACAAATCGAAGAATACCATGGTTACTTCACGCCTAACATAAGATTTTCTGAAGCATTCCTTGTTACTCAATGCAGTTTTCAAGTTAAACTTATCAAGTATAGATCGAAAATAAGGAATTATGCAATCGCTGTCAAAAAATGAATTTCGAAATCACATTTATAGAAGAAACTTCCACAATAACGTTCACACTGATGGCAAAGTATGTATGTACATTGATAATGTATTAACATTGATAATGTGTTTATGCTGTGTATTTAAATTATTGTTCTCGCATTTTATGTACAGTTTCGTTATTAAAATTCCAGAAACAAGCCAACAGCAATATGCGAAAAAGATGGCGACCCTTCTACGCTACAGACTTTCAATCCTTGATGTATCCTTGCTTCACTTTCTGCCGCATTCTTGGAATATTTCCATACAAAATTAACAATTCGACTTTCGAAGCTTCAGAATCATGTTACATTCTATCGACCATTGTTCTCTTCGTTTTCTGCATTTACGAAATAATTATTATATATAAATTGGATATTTCTAGAATAATCATAAACAGAAGCGTACTTAGCTCTTTTAAGTGTCACAATTATTATGTGCTCGGTAGTTTCACAATGATTGTCACGTATGTCTTGAGACGTCCACGGTTGCTTTTGCTACAGACCGTATTGGAGATCTCTTCGGAATTACCCTCGGAATTATATGAAAAGTTATCCAGACTAATTCATATTAAGGATATCTTCGGTTTCTTTCTTCTTGTCATCGTATCAGTAGCATATTGCATTTATATGCCGCTCAATACAATCTTCCTAACAATGTTTGTAATATACCTTACTTTGTTGATGTTTCAAATGGACATGATGTATATGAATTGCGTTTGTATATTGAAGATCTGTTTTAAGAAAATTAACGATAATTTGATGAAGGTTCAGGAATTAGTAATGAGCGATAAGCCATATCTACTCAGACGGATATATCACGAACAAAAGAATTCACTTCTATTGATGAAACTTAAAACCCTGAAGAAACAACATTTGATGATTAGCGACACAGTGCAGATGCTTAACATGATTTTCGGTCTGCAAATCATCATTACTATAGTCATATCTTTCACTGAAATCACTTTTAATCTGTACTTTTATATAGTTGTATTTATAGCCGAAGAAGAAGAAAACTTTTGGTACTGGTTTTTCATCTTGAATATGATATATTATATTACGAAGATAATATTGATAGTGTGGGTTTGCGATAGTGGTAAAGATCAAGCTGCAAAAATTGGCATCACCGTTCACGATCTGCTTAACAATACCAGTGATAAACAAGTAAAAAACGAGGTACAATAATGTATGATTTAATTTGTACATTTTTATAAAAATCCCATATGCTATACTAATGCGTATTTTATATATTAAATTACTAGATTAATAATTATATTTCCCATAATGCTCTCTATTTATTATTATTTTATTAATTAATTTATTATAATGTTATTATATAGTTGGAACAATTTTCTGTGCAAATATTGCAACGAAAAAATGCATTCTCCGCAAAAGGTCTAACTATAGATGCAACGCTTTTCACTGCGGTGAGTAGCCACTTATTTCCGTCAAATAATTAAACATATATTTATTTCTTATTTTTTTTTTTTTTAGATGGCGGGTAGCATCACCACGTATTTGATAATTTTAATACAATTCTTAATGACATCGCATTCTTGTGATGGAAATATCAGTATTGCAGAAATAATCTAAATAAAAGAAAATAGAAATAAATAATAAACACACAAAAATTATAAATATAATCAATAAAACGTGCAGTTTTTAATATATTTTAATTAATGTAATTAATGTAATTTTTAAGTATATTCGTTATGATTTATGATAAATATATTTCAAAAGAATTTTGTATCAAACTAATTATAAATGTTCTATATTTAAACGCTCTACATTGTAAAAATAGATTATTGCAAGATACAATTTTGAGTTGACTTTTTTTCTTTATTACTGCAAAGTGTTAATTAAGTTTTTTATTACAATTGATCCGGAATTTTTCTTTTTATCCAGTTTGTTTGCAAAATTGTAAAGTTCCTCTTTAAAATAAATAATATCATTGTTTCTGAAAATGCAAATAATGTAGTTTTACAAATTTTTTATGTACAATTATACATAAATCAGATATAAATTATTATATTTTAACAATTACGCAAAAACCATCTATAATAGCACTATATATTTGTCTATAAATTAAAATAAAAAAATAAACATTAATAAGAATATATTTTTATCCTTACAAAAAGAAGCGCACATCAATATAAAAAATTTACAATAAAGTAGAAGAGTATGATATTTACAAAATAAATTTAGAAGTATTTTATAATAAATTACCTTTTATATATTATATAAAATGAAAAATAAAAGATCTCTATAAATCATAGCATAAAAATATCCTTTATAAAATTTAGAATTAAATAGTTGTTATATTATAGTGAATTTTTAAAAACTTCAATGCATTCAATGTTTGCATTATTATCGACACAAATTGAATGTAATAGCATATCATTACTTTGTACGTATTAACGTAGTATGTTTAAATGATATTTGCCGATCGAAGAGTGCTATGATACTTTATGTCTCACATACGATTCTTTCAGTTCCGTCTGACTATTTGACTTAACAATTGCTTGCGGTTTTAAATTGAAAATCATTAAATACAAATTGATAATAAGGAGTGTACATCGGATGAGTTTACAATGTTGTATGTATTTGTCATTGAAAGATCAGAATTGAATAATTGTACATTTATAACAGAGCTTTCGAAAGCACAAATGCTAAAGTGTATAGACAACGTGATTAATAATCATAGACTGTCACTTATCACCTAAACTATTCTTTATAATATTGTATTTCGACGATGTTCAACTCATTGTTCCAAAAAACAAATCAAGGATAAAAATGTGGCAGTTATTTTATGGCACAGACTTTCAGACTTTGATGTACCCTAATTTCATCTTTTGCCACATCCTTGGATTATTTCCATATAGAATCAATGCTTCGACCTTTGAGACTTCTAGACAGCGTTACATTTTGTCGACCCTCCTTATTTGTGTCATCTGCATTATCAATCTAAAATGTCTCCACCAAATTATTTTTACTAGAACAATCAACTTTGGAGACCTAATAATAAATCTTGAGACTACCTCTTTCTTTACAATCGGCGGTTTCATAACATTTATTACGTACATTTTAAGCAAACCAAGAATGCGCGTGTTACATGCCATGCTGGAGATCTCTTCGTATTTACCTCCAGAATTGTATCAGAAGTTGTGCAAATGGATCCACATAAAGGACATTTTGGGTTGTTTTTTCTTAATCATGCAGTCATGCTTAATGTGTTACAGAGTACGTGGCTATTCTATTTTCTCTGTGTCATCAATATACATAAACCTGGTGGTGTTTAATATGGATATGCAATATATAAATTGCGTTTGTATATTGAAGACCTGTTTCAAGAAAATCAACAATAATCTGGTACATATGCAAAAAATTATGATAAACGATATAAAGCCATGTGTTCCCAGTTTAATTTACCACTTGCGAAGGAGTCAGTTCCTGTTAATAGAACTCAGGATCCTGAAAAAGCAGCATTTAACAGTCAGCAACACAATGAAAATGCTGAACATAATTTTCAGTCCACAGCTTCTTGCTACTTTAGTCTTGACTTTTACTGAAATCACTTTCGAATTGTATAAACATTTAATACAATGGCAAGATGGGCTGTCCTTCATTCTGGATGATGAAATTGATGATGTATTTTTCCTAATGTCTATAGGATACGAATTTTTAAAAATAATATTGATAGTATGGACTTGCGAAACCAATAAGAATCGAGCATTAGAGATTAGCACTACTGTTCATGATGTACTTAACCGCACTAGCGATGAGCAAATCAAAGAAGAGGTAAGCAAAATATAATGGTATATTTTCTGCTATGAAGATGTCATATGTTATATTAAAATCCTGTACTAATGCAATTTTATATACACTAAATTTATTTAGCTCATATAATTATGTTTTCTAATTCTTTATTTCACGACCTAATATTGCAGTTGTACCTATTTTCTTTGCAAATAATGCATTGCAAAAATACACTTTCCACGAAAGGTTTTTCTATGAACGCGACACTTCTCGCTGCGGTAAGTAATAAATCATTTGCCTTAATAAAATAAATACTATTTATTTTTTTCTTTATTTTCAGATGACGGGTAATGTTACAACATACATATTAATCTTGACACAATTTATGATCATGGTACATTCTTGTGATGGAAAGGCTGCAAACAATATTCGAATGACTTAATTAAAAGCAGATAGAAAAAAAGAGAAAAGAATTTCTTTCTAAATTTTAAAAAACTCTTTTCTTTATTATTGTTAAATTATTGTATTATACGTTTTATGTTTATTCAAAAGCACTTATGAATATATATATAGAAAAAGTGTTTAAAAATTCTCTATTACATATATCGATAAATAATTGCAAATAAATTTTAACATTTTAAATGTATTAAATGTATGTATTATGTCATAAATGCATTTTTATTTATTATTTTTAATATATGCAATTTAATAGTTTTAATTATACTTTTCATTAAAAATAAAATATGTTAAATAGCTAATATTAATGAATCATCAGCCAATTTATATCTTATATCTTGTTTCTCGTATTAATTAATTCATACAACGTTTTTGTCAATTTTTTTTTTCAAAAAATAATACAAACAATTTGTAAGGCAAATTTAATGTTTAAATTGAATTAAACAATTCGTTAAATGCAAATTGCATACTTTTTATTCAAGTTTCAATTATCAATATATAGATTTAATTAAATTTTCATTAAGAAATGAGAGACGAAATATTGCAGTAATTTTTAATATCATATTTTTTTGTAAAACAATTCAACTAATTGAAAATAACTGATTCATACTTATAAATATAATACAATACTTATAAAGTACTTAATAATTTCACATCATTCAAAAGAATATAATCAAGCAATAATATGAAGCAATTTAGATATTAGTTAGATTTAATCTAAAAAATAGCACTCATTACGGAATTACAATTTCTATATTCTATTCCGAGACTTCGATAATCTAAAGGCTTAGGACGGTCGCTCGAAGAATAAGAGACCCGGATTCGATTTCCGGCCGCGATAATATTTTTTATAATAAGAATTAATTATTTACAGATTTTAATATGTCACTCAGCATTATTAAGATCGTTTGAAGATACGAAAAAGCATTAAAATTGATAAATTGCTAGTTAATTTAACTGATGGAATTGATGTTACTACAGTAATATAATAAAGTAAGCGTTTCAAGACCGAAAAATCATTTCGACGCGTATTTTTCAAAAGACTACATATACGTAGTATAAATTCATACAAGATCATACAAGCATTTAAGATCCAACTAGTCTACACACACACACACACACACACACACACACACACACACACACACACACACACACACACACACACACACACACAAAACAGTTTTATCAAATATTTTTATATTAAAAACTACAATAATAAAGATCTCCCATTAAAAAAAATGTTAAATATCAAAATTGTTACATTAACTCTGATGAAGACTCCAAAAAATATCAATATTGATGAATACTAAGTAATAATATCAAAAAACATCAATGTTAGGAATATCAAGTATATCAATTGAATAATTTTTATTTTATAATATCAATACTTTCTGATTTGTATATTATTCCCAAATGAGATGTGCTAAATGATAATCCATATGTTAGAAATTACCTTATTATCTTATATGTTCACATATTCTAGAAGATTATAATGATCGAAAGACATCGTTATTATATTTCATAGCTGACAAATGGATTTTTAGTCATAACTTGCTATTCGATGTAACAACTATCTGTACTTTTAAATTAAATTAATTAGCATGTAATGCATAAATAGACCAAATGGGGCATACCAATTTATATATTTGTGGTGGAAAGTTTGAAATTCAAAACTGTAGTTAGAAAAAGAGTATTTGCAATAAAGCTAAAGTGCATAAAAATGATAAAGTAATTAATAAATTTAAATAATAACCATTACTAACATATTAGATTGTTCTCTCATAATTATACTTTATTAATTACATTTAATTTATCGCAGAAATTTCAAAGTCAATTCAAGGTCCAAAATGAAAGGAAAAAGATCCAGATTGTTTCATGCAAGGATTTTCAATCCTTGATGTATCCCAACTTTACTTTAAGTAAAATTCTAGGAATATTTCCATACAGGATTAAGGTTTCATCTTTTGAAACTTCTAAACTACGTTATATTCTGTGGACTATTACGGTCTGCATAATCTGTGTTTATAAATTGACAGTATTGTGTAAATTTAATCTCTCTGAAAAAAATAAGACTGACATACCTAAATTTATTTTAGTTAATTTCTCTATTATATATGGAGTATTTCTGACAGTCAGCACTTACATCTTGAGTGGTCCCGCAAATGTGGTTACTTCGGATTGTATCAGATATTTTTTCGAGATTGCTTCAGCAGTCATATAAGAAAATGTCCAAATTAATACGCTAAGGATATTTTCGGATTTTTCTTTCACTTCTAGTTAGCGTTAATGTATTTCGTACATTCTGAATTAAATTTCATTTTTGTTTCAAGTGATCAGATTACATATCACCTTGTTGGCGTTTCAAATAGAAATGCTATACATAAATTGCATCAGTGTCGTAAAAGTTTGTTTCAAGGAAATTGATGATAATATGGAGAATCTATGGGAGCTCATGATGAATAATACTCCTAAATGAATCCCTTACGAGCAAAAATATCCATTCTTGTTAATGAAACTTAAGGATCTAAAGAAACAACATTTGATGATCAGCGACACAGTACAGATGCTAAACTTAATGTTTAGTCTGCAACTTCTCACTACCACAACACAATGCTTCAAGATAGTATTCTATTTGTATTTCAATGTAGTACAATGTATTTCATGTAGTACATTGGCAAAACAGGATATCCTTGAATTGAGATAAGATTTATAGTGTAAATTTCAAATCATTCCTGGCGCATTACATTATAAAATTAATGTTGATAGCGTGGGCTTATGAAACCAGCAAAAACCAAGCAATCAAAATTGGTACTACCATTTATGATGTACTTAACAGCATAATCATCAGCAATGAGCAAATCAAAGATGAGATAGTAAAAAAAAATTTCATTTTAGTTTGAAAGCTTTTTACAAATATGTCACGATTTTTATTTATTAGACCTTATTAATTTACATTACATTGACCTGATTTATCATTTTCGTTCTATAATTTTCGTATTTATTTCGTTTTGATTTGCTGTTGCAGTTAAATTTATTCTCCTTACAAATATTGCATTGCAATAATACATTTACCATGAAAGGATTTTCCATGAAAGGATTTTCTCGCTCTAGATGCATCGTTGCTCACTATAGTGAGTGATTAAAAATATCCTTAATTAAGTATATATTTACGTATTTCATGTTTTGCTTTTAAATGAGTAGAGTTTCCACGTATCTATTAATCTAATACAATTTTTGATCATGACGCATTCTTGCGATAGCAAGACAGATGCAATTAAATATACACAAGCAATTTAATTAATACAAATACATTTGAGAATTTTGAAAACTTTGATCTATGTTGAATATTTTATCTCTATGAATATAATTGTCCATCGTTTTTATTCTTAAAAAGTCATATACATCGTATGCATGTGTGCCAAATAAAAATCTTTTACCATATGTGTTAATAAAGAAGATTTTAAGGCTTTAAATGTACTACATTAATGTACTACATTAATATACAAATTAATAAAAATGTATTATGTCAAATATACCAATTTAAAAACTTAATTATACCTGCCATTAAAAATAAAATATGTTAAATAGCTAATATTAATGAATCATCAGCTAATTTATATCTTGAATGTTTCAAACATATCAATTAATTCTTAGAACGTTTTTGTCAAATCAATATTTATCAGAAATGGTACAGACAACTTGTAAGGTAAATTTAATACGTTTAAACAATTCGTTAAATGCAAACTGCATATTTTTTATTTAAATTTTAATATAGATTTAATTAAATTTTCATTGAGAGATGATAGATGAAATATTGCAATAATAATTTTAAGTATTATATTTTTTTGTACATGAAAAACAACGAAGTCAAACTAACAAACTAACTAAAAACAATTCATGATTCATATACTTATAAAATAGTTATGAATTTCACATCTATCAAAAGAATACATCAAGCAATTTAGATATTAGTTAGATCAATTGTAATGTCTAAGAAATAGCACTCATTACAAAATTGTTCATCTAAAAAATACGCATAGCATTTAATTATATTTTAATGTGTAAAATTTATATACAAATAAAATACAAACCATTACATAATTAGCTATCGTAATTTACAATTATCATTACAAATTATGATAGGAAAATGCATATGAATATATGATTGAATGAATATATATAAATATTTGATAAAACTGTACAAAAAAGAAGCAATCACTTGATCTTGACTTTGACCATGTTAAGGTAACTCTGAGTGACCTCCAATAGGTTTTGAGTGTCTTTAGTTTTACCAAATGTTTTTTTATTAAAAACTATTATAAGTTAATTTGTTATAGAAATTTCAAAGTTAAGCCAAGAATCAAAACAAAAGAAAGAAGGTGAAGTTCCATGCTATTGATTTCCAAACTCTTGTATTCCAACTTTATCATAAGCAATAATTTTATTAAAACAATAAAGATCCTATTAAAGATCAAGATTGTTAATATCAAAATTGTTATTCTTTAATCGATGAGAATCCAAAAAAAAACATTATAAATATCAAATTGCGAATATCAAAATATCAATATTAAAAATATCAAGTGTTCCAATTAAATGTAATAATTTTCATTTTATCAATACTTTTTTGGTATGCATGTTATTCCCAATTTAGATGCGTTAGATGATAATTCATATAATAGAAATTACTTTATTACATGTCTTTATATTTTAAAGGGTCATAAATGATAATCAAATGACGTTGTTGTTACTTCGTAGCTAACAAATAATCTTCTAGTCATGACCTACTACTCGACGCAGTAACTGTCAATACAGCTTCAAATTTAATTTTATTCAATCGCAGTACATAAACAAATAAGAGTACTAGTGTATGCTATTTTATATATATTTGTAGTAAACAGTTCAATATTGAAGACTACACAGGAGTTTCTGGATTATATTAACACTAAAGTGCATTAAAAATGATAAAGTACTTAATAAATTTAAGCTACAAGCATTAATATATTGCATTGTTCTTTTCTCAACAATTGTTAATTACATTTAATTTGTCGTAGAAATTTCAAAGTCAAATCAAGGGCCAAAACAAAAGGAAGAAATTGGAGGTTATTCCATGCTACTGATTTTCTAACTTTGATGTATCCCAACTTTATCATAAGCAAAATTCTCGGAATATTTCCATACAAAGTTAAGGCTTCGTCTTTTGAAATTTCTAAACCGCGTTATATTCTGTGGACAATTATTTTTTGCGTAATCTGTGTTTATGAATTGACAATGTTGTATAAACTCAATATCTCTGGAAATATCAAGGCTGATATACCCAACATTATATACTCGAATTTCTATTATTTATATGGATTGTTTTTAGCGATCATCTCTTATGCCTTGAGTGGTCCGCGAATGCGTTTACTTCAGACAATATTAGATATATCTCCGAAATTGCCTAAGAAGTCGTACCAAAAACTATCCAAATTCATTCACACTAAAGACATTTTCGGTTTTTTCTTTCACTTTTGGTTAGTGTTATTATATTTCTCATATTCCGAAAAAATGATTTTCGGATCATTGGAAATGTCCAGAGTTTTCATCAGCTTGTTGGGCTTTCAAATGGATATGCTGTACATAAATTGCGTTTGTGTCTTAAAGGCCTGTTTCAAAGAAATTAATGATAATCTGAAGAATTTGCGGGAGCTCGTGATAAATAATATTTCTAGATGGAGCTATAATGAGCAGAGATATCCGTTCTTGTTGAAAAAACTTAAGGCTTTAAAAAAACAGCATCTGATGATAAGTGACACAGTGAAGATGCTTAACATGATTTTCAGTCTACATCTTCTCGCTACCATAGCTTTATCCTTCAAGCAGATAATATTCTACGTGTATTTCGATGTAATACAATGGCAAAACGGGATATCCTTGAATCAAGACAGAATTTATAATTCATATTTCATATCAATCATAATATATTACTTTACAAGATTCGTATTGATAGTGTGGGCTTGCGAAACTGGCAAAAATGAAGCGATAAAAATTGGTACTACTATTCACGATATACTTAACAGCATTAGAGATGTGCAAATCAAAGATGAGGTAGTAAAGAAGAATTTCACATTAATTTAAAAGTTTTTTACAAATATATCGATTTATATATATATTATATATATATTAGATTTAGAACTAATTTATATTTAACTATAATTTAAACTTATCTTTTCTGTTGTACCATTTTCATATCTTTTAATTTGTTTTTGCAGTTAAATTTGTTCTCTTTGCAAATATTGCATTGCGATAATACATTTTCCACGAAAGGTCTCACTGTAGATGCATCATTGTTCACAGTGGTGAGTAATTAAAAATAATCTTTAATTAAGTATTATGTATTTCGTGTTTTACTTTCAGATGGTGAGTAGCATCTCAACATATCTATTGATTTTAATACAATTTTTGATCATAACACATTCGTGCGACGAATGAGTAAGACAGATGCAATTAATTATATACAATACCAATTTAATTAATACAAGTTTTCAATATTGAGAACATTGAAAACTTTTGACCTTTATGTGTTGAACATTTTATTACTGTGAATATAATTGTACAACGTTTTAATTCTTAAAAAATCATATATATATACGTCCATGCATGTCAAATAAAAATCTTGAAATATGTGTAATATTCGTGTAATAAATAAGATTTTCAGATTTTATTTGTTTAAATGTATCACACTAGTACGTAAATTAATAAAAATGTGTTTCGTATCAAATATATCATAAAACTTAACAGTTTAATTGTCCTTTTGTTAAAAATAATATGTCAAATAAGTAATATTAATGAATCAATTAGTTAATTCATATTTTACCTACTTCACGTATCAATTATTAATTCGTATAACCTTTTTGTCAAATCAATATTTATCAAAAATTATACGAATAACTGTTAAGACAAATTTAACTTAAATTTGATTTAAACAATTCGTTAAATACAAATTGCATACTTTTTATTTAAGTTTCAATTATCAATATAGATTTAATTAAATTTTTATTGAGAAATAACAGAAGAATTATTACACTGATAACGTTTAAATGTTTAGTACATAAAAAACAAAAAAGTCAACTATCTAAAAATTACTCATTCTCATATATACTTTTAAAATATCTACTAATTAATTTTACATCGATCAAAAGAATACAAGCAATTTAGATATTCGTTAGATCAATTTTAATCTAGGAAAGAGCACTCATTATGAAATTAATGCCTCTAAAAATACACACAGTACAATTTAATAATATTATATATCGATTATATTGTCATTATCCCAGCTAAAAATTCATTTTTTCTAAATATAATTTTTATCATATTCTTGAGAATATCATATTCTTGGAATCACGAGAGAATACACGCGAACATATAAGACCTGCTGTTCGAGAAAAAAAATAACAATACAGAAATCGGCAAAAGATAGCTAAATCGATGAATCTAAACGATAAAAGCATATAATAATAATAATTAATGCCGCATTAAAATTGAATTTATTAGAATTTATTATGAATTAAATAATTGCAGTCAAGTGCAATATCGCACACGCTGTAAGCCGCAATCAAGTGAAATAAAATGGACCGCGTAGGCAAGGAAACTAAACAGAAGAATCACGTACATTTCAAATCTAGATTTCGAAGTCTTCCCGAATGGTCATATAATGGCCAATATGTTTCTCTGAGCGAGAGATCAAGCAAGCAATCGCGAGAGATAAGCGAGACTTCTCCGCCAACTTTTGTCAAGGAAAATTGCTGTATAATCTGACGCACTCGTAATAAAGACGTTTAAAGAGTAATAAAGAGTTTATTCTAGTCCAAACTTGGTTGCATTTGATACCAATATCCTAACTCGTGACCATGATATAATCCGGACACCTATATTCCATCCAAAATATTTTAATGTGTACAATTTATGATTTAGATATTTAGATTTTACAAGTAAAATCTATTTTACTACAAAATTAGATATGATAATTTTCAATTATCATTACAAGTTATGATCAATGCATATGAATACATATATTTTTGAATAAATATGTACATATTTTCATATTATAAATTACAATAATAAAGACCACATTAAAGATTAAGATTGATAAACATCAAAGTTGTTATCACATTAATCGATTCAAAATAATATCAATATTATGGTAGAAATATGAAGTATTCTAATTAAATGAAATCATTTTTATTTCATTTAATATCGATGCTTACAAGCATATTATTCCCAATTTAGATGTATTAAATAATAATTCATATGTTAGAAATTACTTTATTACATGTCTTTATATATTAAAAAGTCATAAATAATGATCATAAAATGTCTATATTATTTCATAGCTAACAAATAATTTTTAGTCATGACTTACTACTCGATGCAGAAAGTATCTGTAGCTTTAAATTTAATTTAACTGAATCACAACACATAAACAGATAAATTAGTGCAAATTTATATATATTTGTGGTGAAAAGTCCGAAACTGAAGAAGTTTCTGGATTGTATTAACGATGAAGTGTATAAAAAAAATGATGAAGTACTTAATAAATTTAAGCAGAATCATTAATACATTAAAGTGTTGTTTTCTCGCAATAATTATAATTAATTTGTCGTAGAAATTTCAAAGTCAAGTTAAGGGCCAAAACGAAAGAAAAAAGGTGGAGATTGTTCCATGCTACCGATTTTCAATCTTTGATGTATCCCAACTTTTTCATAAGCAAAATTCTCGGAACATTTCCATACAGAATTAAGGCTTCGACTTTTGAAACATCTAAACCACGTTACATTCTATGGACTGTTATTCTCTGCGTAATATGTATTTATGAGTTGATAATGTTGTATAAACTCAATTTCTCTGGAAAAAAGATTGATGTATCTAAAATTATATCGTTGAATTTCTCCTTTTTATTTGGATTGTTTATAACGATCATCTCTTATGCCCTGATCGGTTCGCGAATGCGTTTACTTCAGACTATATCAGATATTTCTTCGAGATTGCCACAGAAGTCATATCAAAAACTATCCAAAATAATACACGCTAAGGACATTTTCGGTTTTTTCTTTCACTTTTGGTTAATGTTATCATTATACCTCTCATATTCCGAAAAGAAGGTTTTTGGATTATTCGAAATGTTCAGAATTTTCGTCAGCTTGTTGGGCTTTCAAATGGATATGCTGTACATAAATTGCGTTTGTGTCTTAAAGGCCTGTTTCAAAGAAATTAACAATAATCTGGAGAATATGCGGGAACTCATGATAAATAATATTCCTAGGATCTATAATGAGCAGAGACATCCGTTGCTGATAAAACTTAAGGTTCTGAAGAAACAGCATCTGATAATAAGTGACACAGTGAAGATGCTTAACATGATTTTCAGTCTGCATCTTCTCGCTGTCATAGTTTTAGTCTTTAAGCAAATAATATTCCACGTATATTTCAATGTAATACAATGGCAAAATGGAATATCCTTAAATCAAGACAGGATTTATAACGCATATTTTATATCAATCGTAACATATTACTTTACAAGATTCGTATTTATAGTGTGGGCTGGCGAAACTGGTAAAAATGAAGCGAAAAAAATTGGCACTACCATTCACGGTATACATAACAGCATCAGTAATGTGCAAATAAAAGATGAGGTAGTAAAGAAGAATTTCATATTAGTTTAAAAGTTTTTTATAAATTTGTTGCGATCTTTTTATATATTAGATCTAAAATTATTTTGTATTTAACTAATTTAACCCGGCGTGAGCTAGGTGGTAAAGTACCTCTAAAAATACCTAAACGTATCTAAAAGTATTTCATAAGATATAATTTTTAAAAAATGATAAATAAAATATCCAGAATTATATAAGAAAATTATGTTTATTAAAATTTAATAAAATCAGTAACAATTTTAAAAAGATCAATGTGTTGGATGTGACATACTCGATCTAGCTCACGCCGGATTAAACTTATCATTTCGGTTATACCATTTCATTTATTTCATTTATTACCTTTTGATTTGTTCTTGCAGTTAAATTTGTTCTCCTTGCAAATATTGCATTGCGATATTACATTCTCCGCGAAAGGTCTCACTATTGATGCGACATTGCTCACTGTGGTGAGTGATCAAAAAGTATCCTTAATTAAATACGTATTATTTATGTATTTCATGTTTTGTTTTTAGATGGTGAGTAACGTTTCCACGTATTTATTAATCTTAATACAATTTTTGATCATAACACATTCTTGCGACAGTTAATTGCTCACAAGCAATTTAATTATTAACAAAGACGTTTGAAAATATTGAAAATTTTTGATCTTTATGTATTGAATATTTTATCGCTGTAAATAGATGATATACATTCTATTCATATATGTCAAGTAAAAATCTTGTATCATATATAATAATAAGTAAGATTTAAAATTTTATTTGTTTGAATGTACCACATTAATGGATAAATTAATAAAAAATGTGTTTCACATTAAATATATTATAAAACTTAATTCTAATTGTTCTTTCGTTAAAAATAAAATATGTTAAATAGCAAATATTAATAAATACACACCTAATTTATATTTTATATGTTTCTCATATTGATTAATTTCGTAGAATCTTTTTATCAAATCAAAAGTACGAATAATTTTTAACATAAATTTAATGTTTAAAATTGATTTAAATAATTCAAATTGCATATTTTTTATTCAAGTTTCAGTTATCAATATAAATTCAATTAAATTTTTATTGAGAGGATAGACGAAATATTGCAATAGTAATTTTAAGTATCATATTTCTTTTATATAAAAGATAAAGTCAACTAACTAAAGATATCTCATTTATACTCATAAAATATTAATTAATTTCGCATGGATGGAAAGAAATCAAGCAATTTAAAAATTCGTTAGATCAATTTTAATCTAGGAAATAGTATTCATTACAAAATTAATTGTTTCTAAATATGCACAAAGTATATTTAATATTTTAATATGTAAAATTTATGTACAAGTCAGATACCAAATCATTACAAAATTAAATATTGTAATTTTCAATTATCATTATTTACAAATTATGATAAGAAAATTACAAATTAAATTAAATTACATTATACAAATACATACAAATTAAATTACAAATTATGATAAGAAAATATATGAATATATTTTTAAATGAATAAACGTATAAATATTTATATTAAAAACTACAATAATAAAGATTACATTAAAAATCAAGACTGCTAGATATCAAAATTGTTATTAATTAATGAAGATTCCAAAAATCAATGTTATAATAAAAATATCAAGTATTCCAATTAAATAGAATAATTTTTATTTTATGTAATATCGATGCTTTCAGGTATATTATTCCCAATTTAGATGTGCTAAATGAAAATCCATATGTTAGAAATTACTTTATTACTTTATTACTTATTATGTTTTTATATTTTAAAAGGTCGAAAATAATAATCATAAGATGTTGCTTCATAGCTAACAAATAATCTTTTAGTCGCGGCTTCCTACTCGACGCAGCAACTATCTGCAGCTTTAAATTTAATTAAACTCAATCGCAGGTCATAAATAGATAAGACTAGTGTCAACTGATGTATATTTGTGGTGGATAATTCGAAATTGTATACTACACTTAGAGGTTTCTGGCTTATATTAACGTTAAAGTGCATGAAAAACAATAATATAAAATTACTCGATTATTTGACAAAGCAAAATAACAGGATATAACGACCAAAAACGAGGACAAAAGTTATTAGATTACAATAAAAATATATTTGAGATACTAATATCACTCGATTCTTATACATTAAAATGTTTCGATTCGGAGAGTCTTCTTCAGTTAACAATACAATTAACCTAATAATCTAATCGCACATTAAAAAACGGAACTATCGTCATAATTGTATCATAAGCAACTAAAGTGTTATCCTACCATGTTTATAAGAGTACCGTTACAAGGATTTAGTTATATCGTATAACATCATGACGGTATTCTTATAAACATGGATAACACTTTAGTGTTTTGCTATGATACAACTATGACGTTAGTTCCTTTTTTTAATTTGCGATTAGATTATTAGATTAATTGTATTGTTAACTGAAGAAAACTCTGCGAGTCGAAACATTTTTAATGTATAAGAATCGAATGATATTGTATCTCAAATATATGTTTTTATTGTAATCTCGTAACTTTTTTGATCGTTATCATGTTGTTTCGCATGAAAATTGAGAAAGTAGAGGAGACCGGAATCAGTAAACTATGGGATAAGTAGAATAATCGAGGCTACGTTAAAAATAAAACACGCGAGACACCACGTAAACCACAGTTGTCAAAGTCTTCATAGATTTCGACTGGAGACTCTAGTTTTCGGAATCAATCTCCAATTCTCCAGCAGACAAGAAAAATCTCAAGTTTTTCGCGTGTATTTATTAATTTGCACAATCCAGTGATGCTTGCGATGTTATTGTGTATAATTACGATTTTTCATTCAGAATGTTTATTTTAAAATATTTTTACTATTACTAATGCGTAATTGTAGAAAAAAAAAACCAAAGAAGAAATAAAAAAACTATTACAAAACAGATATTTAAAAGATGTTGATTTCACAAATATTATGATGTATTAAAGATGTTATAACGTATTGTTTTTTTTTGTATTTTGTAGATAACGCGCTGTATAGTGCAATATTTAAATTACGTGGAAAGTAATAAGAAAGTCTGTGATTAGGTAAGCATATGTAATCTTCTAATAATAATAAACAGGTCTCTGTTATTGTGGTGACACTTTATTAATAGGTCAAATATTAATAACACAAAGAAAGTCTGTAACAGTGGTCGCAAAACACAAATTAAACTCTTTTTCTTTTTCTTATTTTTTTTTTTAATCGGCCTCCAGTCGAAATATAAAATCTCCAGCACATGAACCCTCGAACCCTAATCGCAATGTTCGGGACTTGGCAACCATAGCATAGTAAATGTGTCTGAGCACACAGAAGCGATTACTGCTCAGTCTGCTGTAACATCTCGTTGCGAACACATCTGTGATAGAAGTTACGCTACAATTAAAAAAAATCGTACACCTAGTAAATACTTTTATTCTTATTTTTGATTTCTGTTTAGATAATAAGCGATAGAAATAATTTTTACTTAATAAAGTCGATTTTTTTATTATCTGTGTTTGTTATCGTATATTGTTAATGATTTTAAAAAATGAATATTGGGATAGTAAACTAACCACAGCACTATGACTTATTTTTAGTGACAACTCTTATAGTATCTATTCAATATTTCATTTCTTTAAAAAGACCCCCAACGATAAATATTATAAATTAATTCCCTCATGTCTAATCTTGATAAAACTAAAATTCCACGTACTTTTGCACAAAATGAATGAATTTGACAAAAAGAAATATTGTTTTGCTTTGATAAATGAATGTTTGTGTTCAGAACATCTTTTTATAAAAGTTTTATTAATATGTAGTTAAAGAGCTTAAAATATATTAATCTTCATTTTAATAATCTTAGTCAAATTACCCTATTAGTCACCTTATTCCGGTCTTGGAGCTTGATTCAAATGGAATGCATTAGAAGAATGCATTTTTTTTCATATTAGTTTTATCAGTTATCAATTATTATTAAAATATTATTATAGATAATTAAATATAAAATATAGATAATTAAATGTAACTGATGTAGATTCATTTTTTTCCGTAAGTTTTTTAATATCGACTCTAAAAATTCAAAACTGAAAATAAGTTTAGTTCCGCAGTCTCCTCTACTTTACAAATTTAAGAAAAAACCATTATAATATATTAATATATTAAATGTTGTTCTTTAATGATAACTTGTTAATTATATTTAATATGTCGTAGAAATTCCAAAGTGAACTCAATGGCCAAAACAAAAAGGGAAATGTGGACGTTGTTCCATGCTACCGATTTTCAATCTTTGATGTATCCCAACTTTATCATAAGCAAAGTTTTCGGAATATTTCCATACAAAATTAAGGCTTCATCTTTTGAAACTTCTAAACCGCGCTATATTATATGGATTTTTATTCTCTGCGTAATTTGTGTTTATGAGTTGACAATGTTTTATGAACTTAATCTTTCTGGAAAAATCAAGATTGATGTACCCAGGATGATATCGTTGAACTTGTCTTTTTTGTATGGACTGTTTCTAGTGGTCACCTCTTATATCTTCAGCGATCCGCGAATGCGTTTACTTCAGACTATATCAGATATTTCTTTAAGATTGCCACAGAAGTCTTATCAAAAACTATCCAAATTAATACATGCTAAGGATATTTTCGGTTTTTTCTTTCATTTCTGGCTGGCGTTAACATTATGTTTCTCATATAATGATAAAAATGTTTTTGGTTTATTCGATATCTTCAGAGTTTTCGTCAACTTGTTAGGATTTCAAATAGATATGCTATACGTAAATTGCGTTTGTGTCTTAAAAACCTGTTTCAAAGAAATCAACAATAATCTAGAGAATCTACGGGAGCTGATGGTGAATAATCTTAGACAGATCTATCATGAGCAAAGACATCCATTTTTGTTGATAAAACTTAAGGCTCTAAAGAAACAGCATCTGATGATAAGTGACACAGTGCAGATGCTTAATATGATTTTCAGTCTGCATCTTCTTGCTACTATAGCTTTATCTTTCAAGCAGATAATATTCTACGTGTATTCCAATGTAATACAATGGCAAAATGGCAAAATATCGTTGAATCAAGACGAAATTGATAATGCTTATTTTATATCACTCTTAATATATTTCTTTACAAGATTAACATTGATAGTGTGGGCTTGTGAAACTGGCAAAAATGAAGCGATAAAAATTGGCACTATCATTCATGATGTACTTAACGGTATCAACGATGTGCAAATCAAAGATGAGGTAGTAAAGAATAATTTCACTTTAGTTTAAAAGTTTTTTATAACTACGTTGCGATTTTTATATATTTTTATATATATGTATATATTAGATTATATTTAATCGATCTACATTTATCATTTCTGCTTTATAATTTTCGTATTTATTATCATTTGATTTATTATTGCAGTTAAATTTGTTCTCCTTGCAAATATTGCATTGCGATAATACATTCTCTGCCAAAGGTCTAACTGTAGATGCAACGTTGTTCACTGCGGTGAGTGATTATGTTCTTTAATTAAGTATGAATCATTTATTTCATATTTTGTTTTTAGATTGTGAATAGTACTTCCACGTATCTATTAATCTTAATACAATTTTTGTTCATGATGCATTCCTGCGACAGTAAGACAAATGCAATTAATTATACAAAAGCAATTTAATTAATACAAATGCGTTCAAGAATATTGAAAACTTTTAATTTTTATGTGGAATATTTTGTCGCTGTGAGTATGTTTTTATTTTTAAAAAAATCATGTTCCATGTATACATGCACAACATTAGATTAAAATCTTGTACTTATATTATCAATAATATAAATAAGATTTTACTTTTTCAAATGGACAAGATTAATAAATAAATTAATAAAAATGTATTTCGTATCAAATAAATAATGTAATTTACAGTTTAATTGTATTTTCATTCAAAAATAAAATATATTAAATAGCTAATATTAATGAATCGATTAATTTATATTTTATGTATTTTTCATATCGATTAATTAAAACCTTTATGTTAAATCAATATTTATCAAAAATAGAATAACTGTTGAATAACTGTTAAGGCAAATTTATATTAATTAAAATTGATTTAAACAATTCGTCAAATGTAAATTGCATATTTCTATTCAGTTTTTAGTTATAAATAAAAATTTAACTATTTTATTCGTCATTGAGAAATCATAGATGAATTGTTGCAACGTCTGATTTTTACGACCGATTGCTGTCAATCGAAAGTTGGCGAAAAACGGAAGGAATATGCGTTTCACCGAGGCGGATCGGTTGTTATTGCATATCTCCGTAACTATTGTACAATGTATATTCTTATCAATTTTTGGCTATAAACCTTTCTTGACCAAACTTAGTTTATAGCATATAATTATCAATAATTGTATGGTTAATAAATAAAAGTATTATCGTTCATATGAGCTTTTTATTGATTAGAAATGAGTTCTCATTATATGCATGTTCTTTGATTGGATGTCTGGTGAATTTAGGAACTAAATCGATTAACCAATGAGATATATTGTCAGTAGTGAACTTTAGTAATTCTCAGTTATGGTTAACACATGACATAAGCAGGGAGAAATCTGAAAGAGGATATGACGACTCAAAACTAAAACACTATAATATAGATATTCGCATCCGCCATTTTTAGTCCTTTCTCCAGTCCTTTCTTTATTCTGTCTTCAATCTTCTTAGTTTAGCGGTGAAATGGACAGAAAGCAAAGGATTAAGAAACGGAGCAAGAGAGTGAGAAAAAGATTAAAAATGGCGGATATAAATATTATAGTGCCTTACTAAAATCTGTAACCGCAAAATGTTGCCGCGTATTATTGTCCTCTGAAGAAGTAGATGTTAACAACAATATCCATTTTTTTGCAGTGCTCCTGATGGAAATAAATCGTGAAATTGTTGAAATCTTTATTTAATAGATTTTAGTTATTTTAGCGATTTTTAGCTGTCTATTTTGCTGTGTAGTTAACATCCACTTCTTCAGAGGGCGGTAGTGCGCGGCAATATTTTGCGGTTACAGATTTTGAACCGTTCTCTCCCAGGTTTCTCTCTAATCATAAGTTGAGTTCCGAATAAAAAAAAATTAAAAAAAAAAAGGAATTATAAACAACTTAAAGAAGAAATTTAAAAAAAAATTAAAAATTTGTTTCTTTTTTAATATACTCCCGACTGCTGCCAGAAGTTAATTACAATATAAATGGAAATCTTAAAAAAACAAATTTAAAATAATTTTTTAAAATTAAAATTAAACTAAAAAAAGTTTAAAAAATTTAGAATTAAAAATATAATT